ACATATGTCTAAAAGACATCTAACAGATGTCTGAAACTCGTTTCACATATGTCTAAAAGATGTCTTATATATCATCCATCCATCCATTTTCTGTACACGCTTCTTCCTTTTCAGGGTTGCGTGGGTCACTGGTGCCCATATCCAGCAGTCACAGTGTGAGGGGTGGGGTACACCCTGGACAGGTCTCAGTCCATCACAGAGACACACATTGAGACAAACGAGACAAACAACCATTCACTCCATCACTCACACCTAGGGACAATTTAGAGTTATCAGTTAACCTAACAGTCATGTTTTTGGTCTGTGGGAGGAAGCCGGAGTACCCGGAGAAAACCCACGCATGCATGGAGAGAACATGCAAACTCTACCCAGAAAGGTCCCCTGACCGGGATTTGAACCGGTGACCTTCTTGCTGGGAGGCATCAGCTCTACCAACTGAGCCACCGTTAAAACCTTTAAATGTCTTTAATATGTCTAAAATAATTCTTATGTGTTGAACAGATAAAAGATGTCATAGATATCCAAAAGAAGCCTTAAAATGTCTTAATATGTCTAGGAAGTCTGACAGATGTTTGAAAAATGTCTGATAGATGTCTGAAAGATGTCTCACATATGTCTAAGACATCTTAAATATGTCTAAAAGACATCTTACAGGTGTCTGAAAGATGTTTTACAGATGTCTGAAAGATGTCTAAAAGGCACTAACAGATGTTTGAAATATGTTTTATATGTCTTACAGATATCTTAAAGATGTTTCACATATGTCTAAAAGACATCTTACAGATATCTTAAAGATGTTTCATGTCTAAAAGACATCTTACAGATGTCTGAAAGATGTTTCATATATGTCCAAAAGATGTCTTACAGATGCCTGAAAGACTTTTAGCATATGTCTAAAAGACGTCTTGCAGAAATCTAAAAGATGTTTCACATATGTCTAAAATACATCTTACATATGTCTAAAAGACGTCTTACCGATGTCTGAAAGATGTTTCACATATGTCTAACAGACGTCTTACAGATATCTTACAGATGTTTCACATATGTCTAAAAGACGTCATGGAAAAAACCAAACAAACAATAAAACAGTTCTTCTTAATGTCTGAAAGGGACTCATGAGCAGAATGATGTTTCAAAATACAGTCACTACATCTGATAAAAAAAACAAAACAAAATAATAACAATCACTAAACTTCAGTCTCCAAGTGGCTGATCTAAGACCAGAAAACTAAGAATAAAAAAAAAGTTTCTTAAAATCAGTTGTGAGAAAATCATCTGGGACAAGGTGAACCACAGCAGCACATAAAGTGCAAAAAAAAAAAT